CTCCACACATGCTGTGTGGCTCACATATGCTTGCTACGCGCGCGCACACACAATGATTTATATATATACATTTACATATGTATATATATGATTTTTCTGCATTGGTTAGGATTTAAAAAAAAAAAACTTTAAAAGTCCATGTCAGAGCTTGTTTGGAAGCGCCAGCTGTATCGCCAGATTCTACAACATTCTGAGGTTTTTGTTTTTTGTTTTTTTTTTTTTTCCTGAATTCTTATTCATTTCCATTCCTAATTGTAAGGCAGCCAAGTGCAGAACAAAGGCCACCATGGAAACCCACAACAGAGGCTACAATTCTTGCTGAGAGTCCAGTAACCTGCCTAAGAGGACCAAGAAGCAGATGCCCCAATTTCCAGTGTGCCACTAAGGTCTTTTTCCTTTCCCTTTTTAAAGGCCACAAGGATGCCCAGGATCTGAACTGCCACTTGTGGCCATGTTGGGGTCCAAGAAATGAGCTATTGCTGGGCCATGACAATATAAGTGACCTGCACTGCCACCCAGGGCCATGGTTTTTCATCTGGCCTCATCTGCGGCTGAGGGCCATGTCTGGGTTCCTGACGCTACTGCAGCCAGGGTCTGCATACATATCCGTGGCTCCTGTTACCAGCCAAGGCTGTGCAGCTGCCCTGGGTCTGGGCTGACATGTGAAGCGTTGGTGCCTGAAGGTCATGCTGCTGCCAGGTCCATACAGATCAGGGTTGGTCTGCTCTGCCATCCAGGGCTACGGTGATGCCCAAGGCTGAACTATGGTACAACTATTGCCAGGGTCTGTATTGATGTCCTTAGCTCCTATCACCAACAAAGGCCATGTGACTGCCCCCATGGTGTCAGCTGCCACATAAGGCCATATTGTCTGAAGACCATGTTATTGATAGGCCCATACCAAACTGATGGCCATTTCTGAGTCCGTGATCCTGCTGCAGCTAGGGTCTGTGTTGGTGTCTGTTGCCTGCATTACCACAGGGCCCCATTTGAATCATATGTTGAATCATATGTTGAATGTGAGGGCTGGGCTGAGCTTGCTCCTCCTCTCACTTGGAAAGTTTTATACTTAAGGTTTTGTTGTTGTTTTTGTTTAAATTTACGTTTTGTGGCTCATTGGCTAAGAGCAATTACTGCTCTTGCAGAGGACAGGTTCTCAGCACCTGTCAGGTGGCTCCCAACTGCTTGTTATTCCAGCTCCAGGGGGATCCAAAGCCTGGGGGACACCTCAGGCATCTACACTTGTATGCACAAATCCACATGCAGACAGACAGACAGACAGACAGACACACACACACACACACACACACACACTTAAAACTAAAATAAAAATTATTAAAACTCTGTTGTTTGTTCACTTGTTTACTTACACACAGATGTGCCATGGCTTATGGTTGAATGTCAGAGGACAACTTGCAGGAGTCAGTTCTCTCCTTCCACTATGTGGGTCCCAGGGATTGAACTCAGGTGGTGAGTCCTAGTGGCAAGTGCTTTTACCTGCTGAACCATCTGGCTGGCCCATGTGCTTTCATTTCAGAAGAAACTCATGAGTATTAGCTAATGCTTTCTCCATGCATTTCTATGCCTATATATAAACATGCACATGTATATAGTGTATAATTATAAATCAGTTGATTAGACTGAGTTTCCTAACTGTTGACTGAGTAATTCCTACAGTGAGTCAGCAATCCATTAGCTATTCACTCCATGAAGCTGGACACCTCAGGAAAATGGTCCAGGGATGCAGCTTTCAGTGTGATGGTGAAGGCTTGCAAGCTCCACAGAGAGCCACCGGTGAGCCTGTACTAGAATGATGAAGAGAGTGGAGCCTGAGGTCCACTGGAGTGGAGCTTGCTCATACTATTTGCTTCCCCTGCTTCTACTCTTGTCTGGACCTCTGGCTAGTTGGATGCTGCCGCCATATTTAGGGTCAGTTTCTGCTAGTTGCTGACCTATGCTGCAGCCATCTCTGCACTTTCATGGGGACATCTAGAACTGTGCTTCCTTCACTGATCTCCTAAGTGTCTCTCAACCATACCATTTGGATCGTCAAGATAAAGTATCATGCACAGGGCCTCTTAGAAAGCACCTGCTGTATTTTATCTCTACAGTGCCAGGCAAAGGGTGTGACACCCACAAGGTTACCTGACCACCTTCTTAGCAAACCAGACAAAACTTTCAAATTCTGTGTCCAACTACTGAGTATAAACCTTTGCCTGGTCCCTAGGCATGCAGACTGCAGAGCAGCTCTGTCTTCTGAGTGTCTGCACACTAACCTAACACCTGGAGTCTGTGGGTGTCCTCCCTGACCTTCCAAAGTGGTTTGTGGATGTAACCAATAGGAAAACCTTGAGATAGAAGATAATCTTAGCTGTGAAGATGTGCTCATGACAATCACAAAGGTTCCCTGAATATGAAATCAGGAAGGTCAGAAGGAGATGTGACTACAGCTGGGTGTGGTGGTACATGCCTATAACCCTAGAACTGGACAGTCTGAGGCCGGAAGATTGCTATGAGTTCAAGGATAACCTGTGCTACATAAAGATAGTGTGAGACCCCTTTTCAAAAAGCAGTAACAACAAAACTAGTGATTTGAGTAGCAGAGACCATGCCCACAGAAGGAGGGATAGGGAAAGGAAGGGGGCAGAGTGAGAGGGACAGAGAGACAAGAGACAAAGAACCTAAAAATGGTTTCTACAAGTTGCAAACAGTAAATCCTTTAAGGGACTGCAGCTAGACTGGTCCAGTGTAGACTTAACAATCCAACTGTTTGTTAATGTATTTGATTGTTTTAAGCCATTGGGTTTATGGTGATTTGTTAGTGGCAATTAGAGACAAATACAGAGTATGATACCTGGGGCAGGGTGCTGCTGTAATAAACCATAGAAATGGCTCTAGGATTGAGCAATAAACAGAGACTGGAAGCCTGAGAATGATGGGAAAGGATAAATACATTCTGGAATGAAGTGTTGGCAGCAACAGGAAGTGAATGAATGCATCCTGCTTGGCTTCCTTGAGTGCCTAAGCACTGCCAATGTTTTGTGCTCAGTTTCATTGTGCAAGGACCAAGGAATTCCCTGCTTGCTTCGAGAAAAAGAAACCAAGTCAATATTTCACAACAATTAGCAAATAGGATTTGCAAATACAGTGGAAGCAAGCTGGGGGGGTAAGTATTGTGCCCCCTCCTCTTTCCCTTCCCCCTCTCAGGACCTTTGCTGCCAATCATCCTGGTATCAGAGACCCTTGTGCTATAATCTGCAGAGCAAAGACCTACTTATTTCTACTTTATTCCCTCTTTGCATCCACTCTGATTTGAAATTTCTTTTCTGACCAGAATCAACACTGAGGATCATTGAACCTGGAACGTAGGGTCTGTGAATTCCACACAACAAAACCTAAAAATTGTTTGCTATCTGATGTATCAGGGCCCTTGGAGCTCTAAAGAAACTCCTTAATTTCTGCCAGAAAGTCTGGTCTGGCTCAGGAATGTTCCGACTCTGAGTTGCAACAGAAACTTCCCAGGAGTCATGCTCTTAAATCAGAACAGAACCTTGGCCCCTGTTTATCTCTGCAATACCTCCCCTCCCCCACTGAATTGATAGACTTGATTCCTCCCAAGTGACTGAGTCGGTGTCAGCTCAAGAGTCTTTCCTGGCAGACAGAGTTCTCCCGAGCTCTGCTTGCTGCCAAAGGCTCTGCTGGGTCTTGCTTGACAGTAATCTTTCTCCCCACCAGATGGAGAAGGTGAGCACCATGAGAGGTCATTTCCTAGATAAAGATGCTCGCTCTCCCTTGTGGACAAGCTGTCTGTGTCCAAATGTCCCATGCCACAGACCTCAGCTGGACATTCAGAGAGGGAACGATCTATCCATTTAAATGGACAGCCTGGGTGTGGAGTCAGGGTGGTAATGGAAAGAAACACATTTGGGTTTCGGAGAAGCTGTTCCATTAACAAGTTCAGGAAAGGTCTGTACCTTAAGCCATTTCCCACAGCCCAGCACATTGTTCTCTAGAGTTGTCCCTTGTAGCTCCGCATTCAGCCCTCGTATATCAATGGGCCAGCCTATCACTTTCTTCACTTCTTCCTGTCCTTGTGAAGCCATCAAGAAGAATTTTCTGAAGCTCTCCCTGAGCTTCTGAACAGGGCACATCCCTCTTTTTTGGACCAAAGAGTTTAAGCATTTTCCTTAAAGGACAAGGTCAAAGGCAGAGCATGCCCTCACCTTCACATTCAAAATCCATATTCAGGCTTCCTTATGTGGCCCTATCTGATTGTCTCTCCCTTCTCCCTGTGATGCAGTGTGACATATACATGAGTGCATCTGATTGTTTCTCTCTTCACCTTTCAATGGACACATACCATCCTCATTTTTACCCTCAGCTGTTTTCCCCCAGCTACCTTTACATTCTTAATGTTTCTGTTTTTCTGAAAACTCCTCTCTCTCTCTCTCTCTCTCTCTCTCTCTCTCTCTCTCTCTCTCTCTCTCTCTCTCTCTCACACACACACACACACACACACCAAACAAAACTCAAAAAACAAAACCCTAACCATTATCAAGGATAAGTTCTTGTCTTCCTCTGTTCCCTCTCTCTAGAGTGGCTTAACGTAACCTTCTTATAGAAGGTGATTAAGTCCCCTCTCCGTTCTCCCATGCCTGCATTGCATTGCCCAACAGTTATGGGATCAACTGGAGACAGAGGGTCACGGCTAGAAGTGATGTATTCCAGTTAAAGGGTGATTGGTGCACATGGCAGGAAGGACTGGGGCGTTTGCCAAGCAGGTGACTGAGAAGCAATACTGGGGACTGGAACAATGGCACTAGCATGCCTGAATGGGTCCTGCTAGAAAGTCCATGACACTGAAATGAAACCATTCAGTACAAAGGCCTGGGCCATCCATTCTCCCTTTCCTCCACAACGTGTGCCCCAGCTGTGTTATCCTCTAAGCCTGATTATGCTCAGCTTTGTGATTTCCCTAAAGAAAGCACCCAAAGCCAGACTATGTACAAAAATAATTTATTTTTCTTAATAATTAGAAATATCCATAATAATATTTTAAACAATGCCTTGGAATATCAAACATCAAGTTTTTACATTCATCTTTACAAAAGTCATCTCATAACATTTAAAATGTAGGACCAGGGTTCACAGAGGGAAAATAATGGAACCTCAACACGCATCTTAGAAATCCTAGTATTCAAGGAAGGGAATATTGAAACATGAATAAGTTAAATAAGTTTAACATTACTTAAGGCATCACATTCCAGGTCACACTAGTTCGCTGTCTTACTGGTCACTCTTACAGAAGTTCTTGAGTTTGCAGTGGGAAAGGCAATAGTAGATGCATTAATTGCAGGCCCATGGGTCAAGTTAGCATTCAGTGGTGCTGAAGATCGTACAGTAGATGCAATTTTATACACAATTGTAGTTTCTGATCTATTTTGGCTCTGGTCCAGTTTTTTTGTGTATGTCTGGACCCAATCCTGCTCAGGGTCAGCGCAGATCTCTCTCTTGAGCTTGGTGATGAAACTGTGGAAAGAGAGAAGACACAGTCAGATGAAGTTCAACTGCTGTGTGTGTGGGTCGGGGGCTGTGTAGGGCTAAACTAGGAAAGCAGGTAGAAAGCAGAACTCGAGTGGCTTGCTTCTCCTGCAGCTTTTCCAAGATACGCTTATGGAATTGGGATGCTCTGAACAGCACCCATATAGAGCGCTGTTGGGGATTGTTCTTTCCTTCTAGGCCTCAGTTTTCCCATTGGGAATCAGTTGCTATTGGATCCAAGTGTGTGACTGACTATAAGTAAGTGAGGACCATCCCTTGCTCTCGAGGAAGAGCTTTGGACCAGGGAGGGCTGGTATGTGTAACTCACATTACAGCTTCTTTGGGACACTTGCTGCTGGTGATTCTCTTGTAGCTCTCCAGCCTTTTCTCTGGGATCTTCTTGGCGGTGAATGAGTAGCAGCAGGTGAGTGGGGAGTTAACGGCATCTGAAGAATAAACCAGAAAGGAGGGCACATTAGGACAAGATGGATGCTTCTGACCTTAGAGAAGAGAAGGACCATGAGGAGAAGGAGTAGATGTAATCCCCCCAACACCTCAGAGCTGCGATGTGACCCCTGACACACTCACTTAAATATTTACATTTTAATTCTTGGGTAAAGGAGTGTCATTGAAGCTAGGTGACTCTGGGGACTGTAGTGAGAAAGAGCTAAGAAGTCAAATTACTGGAGTCCAAGAAAATGACTTGAGAACCTTATTCCAGGCTCCTGAAATCAATATCTGGTCCTGAGTATCTTTAGTACCAAACCCCTCTCCTAATCTGCTGTCTCTGGGAGCTGGATTGTGTGAAACAGAAGTCTCAGGTCTCTTCCCCTTTCCCTCCTCTGTATGTAGAAGCACATCAACCCAGGCCTATCTTTGGTCACCCAGGTCCTTAAATATTGAGGAAAGCAGCTGGAACAGGAACTACATGAAAATGTGATTTCAAAGTTAGGTCTTAGGAGGATTAAAACTCTAGTTCAAGCTCTTGCCAGAAGCATCTGTGTCATTGGGTTGGCATTTTGCCCTTCTCTCAGCTGCCTTACCTCAGGGGGTAAAAAGGTAGCTGTTCAGGTGAGACTACGCTATGATGGCCCATGACAATCCAAAACTGGGTAAAAAGCTGTGAGGAGAAGGAAATTGGGGTCTCACCTGGCTGGGCCAGCACGTGGATGCTACAGACAGCAACTGTGAGCAGCAGGCACAGAAGAAGCGTTCTTGCAGACATCTGCATGGTGGAGGAAGAGAAAGCTGGCTTCAGAGGGAGGGAATTGGCAGGGTCTGGGTTCGCTTGTCTCTCTGCTCTTCTGGCAGCTCTGCCTCAGCCTTTTATAGTAAGCCAGTGGGTGGAGTCAGGCTGGGAGCCTGGTCCCCAGGGGCAGCATCATCAGTGAGGGAAGAAAAGTGGAAGGTTGAATTTGCTGAGTAAGTGCGGGCTCTAGAAGGTTTCCAGGAACTAGAAGAGAGAAGTTGAGGGTTGGAATTTGGCCCCTTTTCCAGCCACTGCTGTGAGCAAATAAAGTTGAGTGTAGATGAGGTAGGGGAGGAAGGGAACAGTCATACTAGACTGGGCACAAGTATGAATGGAGTGGAACTGCTTTCATTGAAATAAATGGAAGTGGGCAAGGAATCTAAGGTCCTAAAGAAGATAGAAGTATATCCCAGCTTGCCCCTGGCCCAAGGACCACAGAACTGGGAAAGGACCCTGATAAGTCCACCAAATCCTTGTTTAACATTCGTTGTTGAATAGGGCATTCACTCCATTTGGTAGTTCCCAGATACATGTCAGAACTGGGGAGCTTTGTAAGGTTGAAATGAACTGTCTGAGTTGTAAGGTTCTTGACCTAGAAAGCCATACAAATCAGTTCATGTTGCAGAAGAGATTTCCTTGTAAAACCCATACAGGGCTTAGTCTGTGCCAGGAATGTTTGGAGCCTTCACAATGCAAAGTCTCTAAATTCTCCAGCTCTAGTTAAGTGGGTATTGTTAATCCCCATTATATAGAGCAGTATCTGAGGCCCAGAAGGGTTGTAGGTGACTGCCCTGAAATCCCCTGGAATGGGACCCAGGTAGCTCCAACCTGTACTATCATCATGCTACTCTGTGTACTCAGCTCCTGTAAACTAACACATTCCTTGTGGTTAGTCACTATGAGCTAGGAGCCTATGGTCAGCATTTACTACTGGTGGTTACTTGCTTCCCTGATTTCTTTTAGATTTCCAGGGACCAAGAGTGAGCCAAAGAGTTATATTTGGGAAAATGGAATGTCTGAATGTCTGATTTTACTCAGCTTTTCAGGCCTGGATTTCTCCAGAAACAGCAGGATCAGAGCAGTAAAACCTGCAAGTCCTTAGAATTAATTTCAGCCAATTCTTTTGTAAGAATAGTTGAGCTCTCTTCTTGGCATGCCAGTGCCTGAGCAGAGTCTAAACTTGGGTGTCTTGATTCTCTCATCCCACCACAATATCCTGGTGGGCAGAGTTGGACCTATGACTTCTCTTTCATAGAGAGGGGCACTGAGTTAATCTCCATAAAGAAACAGGGGTACTTTATGTATATTTGTGTAAGAAAGAAGTGGCATTGAACAAATGACTGTATTTAGTCCACAGTATGTGGTCATTAGCAGCATTTTGATGGCTCACTGGGAGCCAGGCATAATTAGCTGTCAAAATACCTAATTACTCTTAGGTAACACAGGTGACACACTCCCATCCAGGACACACTGATGCCAGAATGCCTACTGCTGGACATGAGGTTTAATGTCTCATGGTGGATATTAATTTCCTGGAGAATCTAAAGCAGATGTTTTTATGGGAGAGAACATTCTAGACTCTTGAGCAGATATAGACATAGGCAGGACAAAGAGAGGACAGGTCACTCTTATGCCACTTTGCTGTACCTCTGAGGACCTTCTTTTTGTTCTGCCTGTGTCATTGTGCCATTCATTATCTCGCCAGTCACTCTCCTACTCCCTAACTGGTGACCAAACCCCTCTGAGTTTGACTCAGCCCTTTCCCTGTGGGCTCACTCAATTCCCCTCAAATATGTGAATTATTTTAAGACTGGAGACACTAGTTTTGCATAGTCACTTCTTCCCAGACCTTCTCACTATGACTTCCAAGTAGTTTTCCTCATGTTCTCTCATCTGTAAGTTTCGAATCCATTCATTCCTTGGGCTTTCTATAGCATCAACAAGGTGAAAGATGCAACTATTAGTCCTAGGAATCAGAGACTCAAAAGCCCCCACTCCAAGAATGTTTATAATGTCACCTTCTCTTTCTATTAGAGGGAACCTATTCCTGACTGATATAGCCCATTGTCACAGGGGAAAGCCCTTGGCTTTGTGGAGCACTGGGAGGTCACCATTGGAAAGTGAATTGGCCACTGCAAGCCTCAGTTAACCCAGGGGGAAGAGACCGGGTGTGAATCACAAACCAATTGGAAACCAAAGAAAAGAAAGTTATTGCTTGTCTCTTTCTCATTTCACTCTATCAACAAAGGATGCTCTTTCCAGCTGGTAGGTCAGAGGTAGAAGGGGAGAAGAGAGTGGAAATTCCCATTCTGAGGCAGGATTGGAAGTTCCCCATCCCTTTGGGAGAGATATTTCACTGGAGTGTGTGCGTTCCAGATGCTGGGCCTGCTGCCAAGCAGTTCTCATGTGAGGCTGGGAATCTGGAATGTCTCAACACAGGCCTGGGCTAAGCTGTGGCTTGGGAGCAGCCAAGGGAAAGGCCCAGGGAAGAGCTGTAAGGGGGGAAGGACTGATAGTTCAGTGGTCCCCTGCATCATTTCTCCTTTTTCACCACCCAGATGAGCAATGGAAAGTTTCTCTGGGTGTATAATCCTCTCCTTCCCTCACATGGACCCTGGTCAATGCCACATACTCCCACTCAGTGTCAGATATGGAGAAAGAAGAAGTGACAGTGAGCTTTCTAGAAAGATCAGAAGCACCTCCTAGGGCCTCAGCTGGGTCCTTCCGCAGCTCCCTTGCTTGCTTGCTCTTGTCCCTGTAGTTCATGGTCCTCTGACCTGCATTTCCGGATGATCTCCCCTGATCCCAAGACTTTGGGTGAGTGCAGAGCTGTCCACAGCTACCCTCTACTCTCGCCAAGTGAGCTCTCAGGTCCAGATGGACCAAGCTGTGTGCCTAGGACTTTGAATCTTCCATCCTTCCAAGAACCATGATTTCCCATTATATCATCGCAGAATGTCTAGTAGGGATGGGACCTCCAAGTTGAAGGGCTTATTTCTCAAATGGAGGCACTGAGGTCAAGAATAAAGTCACATGGCATGCCCAAAGTGACACAGAAGGCTAAAGGAGGTGTTTATGTTGTCTTGGCTCTGAGCTTTCTCTTTATTCTTTACCATCTTGTCACAGTGATTGTATGGGTAGCATCCCCCTTGGGTAAGCCTCAGGGAAAGGGCCATGGAGGGAGAAGGCCAAACTCATAAAGAGCAGTTACCGTGAGTACCACGGAGATAGGATAGAGTTTCATAAGATAAAAGAGCAATGCTTTCCCCAAGCATTCCCTGGGCTCTGATGTGGCTGTATTCCAGCTCCCTTCTCATGCAGGAACTGAGGGTATTTGTAGGATGAAAGTGATACTGGTGGGTAGGCCAAAAGAAAAAGGAGAGTCACTTGCAGCAGTCTGAGTTGGGTGGGAAGGGGCTCATCACTTATATTGTCTCCTGGGCCAGTGGTAAGGTGAGAGCTACCCCAGTGACAGGAAGAATGGAGGTATCCCTGCAGCACCTTTGAGTTGCCCAGTATGGAGAAGCTGCTGTCCTCGTTTGAGGCCTGGATGGGACAGGTGGCCTGAGCAGTGTGGCGATGGTGTAAGGGTCAGGCAAGCACATTTGAAGGCGCTGATCTCTGAACAGGCTTAGATGTGGTGAGGGTCTGGATCATTCAAATGGAGACAGAGACATTGTTCTAGTAGAGTCCTTGAACATGTGTGTTTTGCTTACCTAAGGGAAAATCAAGTGACATATAGAACAATTATATTACCCAGACGTGCAACATTGTGAAAGTTCTTGTGTGGACACAGAGAAGGCTGAGGTGGGGCATTTGTGGTGGGTTTAAGAGTTGGGCAGGTTTTGAACTTGAGTCATCACTGGATAGAGGAAGGACACATACTGGAGAAAATCTCTGAACACTGCACATTTTAAAATGCTTATGTATCCCTTGGTATCATGCTGACAGATAAAATGTGTATTGCTAACCATGTAGGTGGTTCTGATGCTACAAGTGTCCAGCTCCCTTAGAACCACCTGGAAAGAGCAAAGGCTAGAACAGGATGCTTATGGATGGGACATCATGACTAGCTCTCCCAGACTAGCTTCCTGCCTGTGGTCCCTACATATGCTTCAAGGACTGGAGTGTGGTGCTGTTCATAGCATTTTCTAGAGAAGTGGTCCATGATTCTTTTGGGTCTTCAGCCTTCAAAGGAAGTGGGTATAGAAGAAATGAGAGAAAAGAGCAAGAGTAATAAATAAATAGAGTACAACAGGGAGCCTGTAAGAATGCAAAGAACCCTCAGTTAGGTTACAGAATCATAGCCTGTCTCTGCCTTTGTCTAGCTATGTGGACTTGAGCAAGTCCCTTGACCTCTCTGGACCTCTTGTGCAGAAGGTGATGAGTAAACAGCTATTTCTAACACCATCATGCAACTTGTATGAAGAAACAAACAAGGGTGCTTTGTAAGCATCCTGCAAAGAGCTGTGTCAGTCTAAGGGTTGATGGACATGGACCTGGAGACATCTAGAGGTACATGGCCACTCCAGTAGAGTTGTATGTTCCTGGCTTTGTACTTACTATGTAGCCCAGGATGGCCTGAAGCTAGTAACTATCCTCCTGCCTCAGCTTTTTGGAGTGCTGGAATTACAGGCATGTCCTCCATGCCTGAATCTTGCTGTCTTTCTGAGAGAGGGACAGTAAGGTTCCATTTCACTAACTGTCCTCTCACCTCTTCTGTCCTATCTGCCAGGAAGGAGAAAGCCTTTGAGGGTTAACAGAACAGCTGAGGGGCAGAGAGAGCAATTGTAAAGCCAAGTAGTCAGGGCCCCAGCGAAACAGTCAGCTCACAAAGCTCTCTAGCAAAGCCTGGCCTTGACTTGCCCTTGTCCGATTTGTACCAAGTCATACACACACACACACACACACACACACACACACACACACACACACACACACACACACACACACACACACCAGCCTCGCTTTACTCTTCTGGAACATTTTGTGCTCCATCCCACCTCAAAGCTTTTG